CTTTTCTTCCCTTGCGCCTTTCTTCGGTTCCCTCTCCCCCGCCTCCCCGAATTTGTTTACCTCCCACGAAAATATAACGGTTTTCTACTTTGCATGACCAATACTTCGCATCTCATCCTCGAAAACCAGCTCACAGTCCATGGTCTGTGTCGCGGTTCATGGATCGAGTCATCCCCAGGCAATAATTTCTCCCTCGAGAGGTGTGAAATATCGGCCCCACGCCTCTCGACCGCGAGACGCATCGCATCGAAGCGGGACCCGAATCGATTCAGTTACTTCCAGAACGTTAGCCAATAATCGATATGTAATGTTTTCCGACGATCCTGTACGCCAAATCGAATTGACTTGTTACATTTGTAAATGTTTGTAAGTAACTATCACGTAATAAAATAATCGATTAATAATCATCGAAATTCTGATTGTACAGAGGTTTCATTTATTCGTTTTATAGTGGAAAGTATTTTCTGACAAAATGAAGGGCGACAGGGCTTAGAGACTGATCCAGCGAGCTACAACGGCCGTTTTCACGTTTCCGATTCTTCGTTCTGATCGTCGATCAATCCGTGTGCTTTCATTATACCCTTCTTTATCCTCTCCTTCTCTTTGCACATTTTCTCGTACTTTAGTACAACGCCCGACAACATGTATCGATCTAGCGAGTCCAGTTCCACGTAAACCTTCACCAACTGCAAGTCGTTTTGTATCTCTCCTTGGCCCGATTTCGCATCAGGGTGAAGCTTGTGATAAAGTCGCACCAACTGCCCTGCCTCCTCTATGTTTTCACCTTCGATCAGTTCCAACAACAGATTGTCGATGTTGTTCTCCCAGGCAAGTTGAAACACCAACGGGCCAAAATGCCTCGTAGATCGCAACGCGTCGAATTTCTTTAATTTATCCACGTAAGAGTACACTTCTTTCGCAACCCTGTGATATTCTGGATCATCCGGTTCAAATTGGAGGCACGCTCTATCCAGGATGAACTCGAATTCTCCCTGATCCAACAAGTCCTACAAATTTATTTCAACGTTTAATGTTTTATATATAAAAGCGTCCCTATAGAGAGTAGTATAGACGATTAAGCACTATTCTTACTTTCAAGTACGGATTGCAGAACATTTGCGGTGTGTGTATCTCTCTGCCAATTATTGGAAAGTATATTTGATTCATCCTGTGCCTCTCGTTGGAATTTGCGTGTCTCAACGTACCATTGGTCTCTCGAACCACGATTATTCGGCTCTGGTTGCTTTTCCCGAAAGATATATCTGTAAACACAAGATTGTATTCCTCGTACCCTTGCAATTCAGGCTCCTTGGCCAACACTTCCGGTTCCTTCGGCCTTATTTTCACAACGGGTGGCATCTGAATGCGCCTATGCGCTTTCTTCCCTATTTGTTTTCGCGCCTCCGTCAACTTGTCGTCCGTCATGAATTTGAACTTTGGAATTTTCAATGGGGTCTCATCCCTGCGTGTCGCAAACACCTTCTCGTAATCGACGCGAGTCAAGGTCTTTAATAACTTCTGCACGTGTTGGTCGAAGAAGAAGGGTCTAGGATCCCTTTCGTCCGCTGTAAATTATTATTATTAATTTCGTTCGAGAAAGAAGAGATGCAAGATATATGTTGAAAGCACATAACCTACCCTCGACCGGGAATATTCCATCGAACGAGGAAATGAACGAGAATTTCACTGTACTTACTCACTCGCGGGGCCGTTGAACACAAACGGCAATTCCAGATCGGTCGTTTATAGAAATGCCTCAAGAGGAAACTTATTCGCCGATACATCATTCTGGCCAAGTGGACTGATCTAACCTCAATTCTAGCAGACGTCAGATATATTTACGTACGAGGCGCGTGCGTGGCGCAGTAGTGGTTTCCAGAGGTACCAATCGGACCAATTTGGTCTCCGTCAGAGACTCGAGATCGCCCATCTAGTACGTACTGTTTGTCAATGAAAACCCAGATGTTTTGCGTTTCCCGCCATTTCTTCTCGCAACAATTGCGAACGACGTTTTCAATGTCTCGTCTTTATACATTTACAATGCATTCTTGAAAAAAGGAAAGAAATGGAAAGAATGGAATATACGTTGCAAGATGCCTTCGAAACTCTGAAGGAGTCGCAGACGGAACGACGGAAGGAGATAGAAGACTTGACGAATGTGATTCCGAACAATTTCAGACAGGTCGCTCTGCAGAAAACGTGCAACTCCGAGGACGTAAGAAACAAACAGCACAAATTGTGCAAAAACTTATTGGACAAGGTTTGTTTGGAAGAGCCGAAGGATTATCCTGTTCCTAAAACGTCTGACTTGCACGCCGAGGTTCTAGCAGATCTCGAGAAAGAAGTTCAAAGTGCCTATCAACTTTTCGAGCATATGAAGACACAGCTTTCAAACGTCAAGGACGATATCTCTTAGTTCGTAGTTCAGTTCGTATTCAGTAACGATTTTAATTAATGGAAATTACGTTGTATGTAATTGTTTCAGTTTGGAAAGTAAAAAACTGGGCCTGAACAAGATGAGAGTAGCGTACTTAGGTGCACAGCAGTTGACTGCGGACACAACCTACAACATGGAACATGCCACGGCGAAACGGATATTTCGAAACGTAAAGAATGATCTGGTATGACGAAAAGATACGAACTTTTTCAACACTTTGTTTATACGATTGATAGCATTATAACCGTATGAAAACGCTTAGCATGCAGTAGTCGAAGAACTGTTCCCAGAAAATTTGAATTTCAAAAACTTTCTAGCGGTAAGTAGAAAATTAAAATATCTGAAGTTGTACAAAAATTTCTATTATTCGGGAGCGAATATATATAAAAAGTCAAATGCATTTTCAGGAACTGATATCGTCGTATACAAAGGGCGGCAACGATCTATACGTGGATGTTACTCCAGAGATTCTAGATTTTGTAAATTTCCTGATTGAGGCTGACATTGCTGTCTATCACAGAAACGATAAGACTAAAGTTAAACTAATGGATATGCTATAGGTATAATATTGTAATATATATAACGCGTATCTTATATTTTCAAAATAAAGTTTTCTCCCCTTTAATTGCTTAAAGTTCAAGTGCTTAGAAACAGAGAGAAAATATAATATTACGGTAATAGATAATTGTACGTGATACATAGTTGTAGAAAATGCTCAATCCACAACTCCATGTTTAACGTTCCATGTCGAAACTTTTGAAAAACGCTTTGTTCAAGCAACGTCACCACATAAACGGTGCTCTTTCTCTCAATACTCTGACACCCACTCGTTCCCATTCTTGCCGACCAATCCATAATTCTTGAGCAGATTCCAAACAACTCAGAATCGCCGCACCTTTCCACGCTGTCATACCAGGATCCATTTCTTTTGGTTGCGTTATGATATCCAATTGTTCTACACACGGAAATAGAAATTAATGTCTTTCTCGCTTGGCTCAAGTGAGAAATCTCGTACAAAGATGTACTTACCAGCTCTGTACATGTAGGGAATTTGAAGAGAAATCCGATTGTGCAGCCACATGCCTATACCTTGGAATTTCATACCTGAGCCAACAACCAGTACACAACTGTACATTTTCCTTTTTAAATCTTCCGTAGCTGTGGAAAATACGAAAGTGATTGAAATTCGCGACACGTTATTCGTACATAGTTATTCGTACGGCGTACATACCGCAACGATCGATACTCTGAAGTACAGCATGATCAAGCCCTAGTAATTGCTGGGGACCTACTATAAAATCACGCGGAGCATCCAGATCGCGATTCGATAATGTTGGCGCCGAGTCTACAGCATCGACGACCACTTCTTCCTCTCCTGCTACAGTCGGTGCGGATGCTTCTTCTTGCATTTCCGATATTTGCTCAAGATTTTCTTTCATACCTCTTCTCTAAACAGTTGGTAACGAAACTAATGTTCATGTTAGAAGAATGAGCATAAAACCTAGGTAAATCTACGTACACTCGTCTCTCGCAGGTAATTCTCATCGTGCGGGTCCTCTGGATCTCCCGTTGACCTCTTTTGTATATGTACGTTATGCGTTCCAGTGACCTTGAACAATTCAGGTTGGAACAAACTTAAAGGAGCGACCAAACACTCGTCGCCGACTTGAAGAGTGTATTTCTCGGTTTGCTGCTTCGGCTTTCGAACTATAAACGTCTTTTCTTGAGATCCGCACACGTTCAAGTCAACGTGGCAAAAATCTTTCTTCAATTGACTCAAGAGCAACGCGTCTAGTTTATTGGATGGATCGCACGTTTTGTAAGGGAAAGCGCATTTCTGCAGCAGCCAGAAGAATGTTTGCGTGATGTCTCCTCCACCGTAATCCATTCGCACTCTGGTATTTCTATGAGAGATTCCATCTTCTACGCAAGAAACCGACGTCTTTTGATCTCCAACGTCGACCACGCACGCGTATCCCAAGCCTGCGCCAAACGTAGCCGCCACATGATCCTTCGAAACGCAGTGAAACATTAATACATCGGTATTTGGGGTATTCGAGGTGTACTTTGAACATTTTTTGAATGTATCACTACCAACTTGCAGCAAGAAACATGCTCCAAATCCAACGTCACACAGCATCAGGGTTGTTAACTCTTTTAAATATTGCCTGTTGTAAATATCTGGAATTACGAGCACAGCACGATAATGTTTCAAGTCTCTCAAAGGAATATCCATCTTTTCTGTAAGAACGTATTCCCAAATTGTTTTCAAATCGGCCATTACAGATCTCAGGCTGCCACCAGGTCCGGAATGAACATTGAGCTCTCCTCTCCTGTACGGGAAATGGACGTTGAAATTATCTTCCGGATTCAACGATAGTATGTCATCCCCCACTACAACATCTTTGTCCGTTTTTATCCATTCGACACTGCACGGAGACGATATTTCTGGATTTGATCTACGGTTAAACGCAGCTATCTGTTGAGGTGGTGTGGCGTATCTTCTTCTTCCGTCGGATTGAAGGCAGGATTGCAAAGTGTGAGATACTTGCAGGCGAGATTCTTCCATTGCCTGTGTCAACTCTTTCGTCTACTAAAAGCGATTGAAAAAGAGACATCTTTATAAAAGTGTCATTGGTAAAAGCAACTTACTCGTGGCACAGCCAGTGGTAATAAACTGTCTTTATATTCCAATCCACCGGGTAAACGTTTTCTAGCAACAGCGTTCAACATCGTACAAGGGTTCAAATCAGACGCCCGTCCCATCCTAAGGTACATGGATCCAGGATGTATTATAATGATCGTCTGAGCTTGAATTTGCTAAAACACATTGGAAACACGTTGAAATGCGATTGTAAAGACAGATTGCCTTATATCTTGTACTCGGGGAATTACGAACTTTACCTCTGCGCAAGATTCTTGAAAAACCGGCATGATTGATTACAATTTTTGTGACATCAACTACGCTTGGAGGTTATGTATACGTTTTGTTGTTCGAATTCCTGATTTCTGAATAAACCAGGCATTAAGCACAATTTTATTAATTTTAATTTCATTCGTTCATCCCGTAGAACTGGCACGTCTAAATTTTTCACGTCTGAAAATACTTATTTTCCCATAGCAATGTTAGTTTTGAAAACATCGAAAGCGCTTTATACGCTCACGTTCAACTCGCACAAGTGCGGAAACAAGGATAATTAAACGTGAATGTCAGACTTTTATTTCAATTGGTTTTACTAATAATCATCTTGTACGAGTTAAAAGAGTTATATTTCATCAAATAATTGCATTCAGATCGTGCAATTTAAATTAATCAAGAAAAGAAAAAGCAATTGCTTTATTATTGATTTTATTATAACAATTCGCGAAATAATCGATCGAAATGAGGATTCCCATGCAAAACTGCGCGTCAAAAAACTTTCACTTGCACTTTGTAAACATAGTTTACGAAACTTTTATAAACTTTTATAATTTGCCAGAAATCGAATATCAACCCAGTAAGTGATTCGATTTATCGATCAGAATTTGCAAATTTTTATATGTTACATTTTACAAGTTGGGCACGACGCAGGAACAAAGCGGATGGTCTAATTTCAGGAATCATCAGCAATCATAAAATATCATAAATTCTCAAGCTAATTGATTTTTAATTGATTTTTCTTGCAATTGAAAAATTGGTCAAATTGCGGACACTGAAATGCTAGCGCCGCGTAGCGGTAAAGCGGTGGAACTAACCGCTATCTCTGTCCTTGTCGCACACTATCTCTCTCACGCGCGCATTTATCTGTCCTTGTTGCACATTACTGATCTCTTTGTCTGCGACAGAGGTGCTGCCATCTATCGGATTTTTCCAGTTTGGCCTTTTAGTTCCAACGGAAAATAGAGTGGCTCAGGTGGCAGCACCATTCGTAGACAAGGAACGCAACATTGTGCGACAAGGACAGAGACAGCGATTAGTTCCACCGTTTCACCGCTACGCGGCGCTAGCATTTTACTGTCCATGCATTGACCAAAGATAGACTTTAATTAATCAATGGTAATATATCCTTGCATTACTTTTGCAAATAATATCGTTGACAAGTTAATTTCAAGCAATAAAAAATAATATTTTCTTTAATCCTGAGGGATGTCTTGTTCAGAAAACTT